ATTTTTGAAAAGTTTCTATGTAATTGTAACCTTGTCATTAATGGGTAAAAGGGAAAGCTTGGTGTACTTTCATTTCTCATTTGCATGAATTTCAATGCGTGTTTCACTCGATTATCATATGTGCTTCATTGTAACTTCTATAAAGATTCAAATCATTTAATCCATTTTTTCATAGCAAGAAAATGGAGGGCAGGTAAAACGGTATATGTGTTTCTAACATGCATCTGTATACAATAGTTCGAAAGGGGTAAAACTGAAAAATTTGAAGCCAAAAGAGTCGATTCTCATCATTTCCTAAGTAACTATAAAAAAAATTACATTGCAAAAGGGATTATTCCAACACTAATCATCTATTAAATCTTGTTCATCATAGAAGGTTTCTTCATGTGATCTTATGTAGCCATACATACAACCAAAAATCCGAATACATCCAACCAATAATCACAACTTGCCGATCTGCATACATATAGCCAAAAATCAAAATTCACAAACACATTTATACATAATTTATGAGAAATTTGAAAGCTCATGTAAGCATAGAGTATTGAGTAAGAACGGTAATGCACCAGTTGTTTAGTGTATGGTGGAAATTAGAGAAACAACCATATTTCATATGATTGTTTAAGCACACCCACTTATATATAACAAATCATACATACAGTTGGAATTTGAAATTTGATTGGTTGAAATGGTGAGAGGGGAATTGATGGGCTGGAACCAAGGTAATCAAAATTTTCAATATTTTTTGTTATGTCGAATACATGGGGATATGTTGGTGGGGTGGGGATACTTTTTCAGGCATGTGAAGTGCAAAGTATATGTTTATTATAACATAGGTAGAGAGATATGAGATACATGTAACTGAGAATTACCACAATAAATCACACATACATAGACTCGTAGCTGGTCAGGGATCGTAGAAGCTGTCGAAAAGGCTATATTAGATAATATGTATTAAAATAGTAACTTACCTATTTCCATCATTTTCTGGAGTGGTTGTAAGACTATTACTTCCTCCTACATTCAAATCAACACACTCATATTACAAAAACACCAAAACCAGCTTACATTTAAATAGAAACAATGACAGAATAGAACAATCATTTAATTGAACCATTTCCAACAGATCTGCAGAAATAGAAATCAAATCCACATAATCATTTAATAATCCAATGATGCAAATCTAACCATCACCAACATATCTATAATAATAGAAATGAGTAAGCATCAATTCAAACATATAAAATCAAAACATTTCTATAACATATGAAAGTGAAGATTTTAAACCTAAAAAAATACGCTTGTAGAATAATCTTTGTATTCATTTAGAAAATCAAAAAACAAAAATAAATTGAAAAAACGAAAAGGAAATTTCCAACTAAGGAAATAAAAAACAAAAATAGATGACAAATGAAAAACAAAAATAGATGACAAATGAAAAACAAATAAAATGGGAAGATGCTTACAGGTTTACCCTTTGAAAGATATATGGTGGAACAACCATTGTAATTTCTTCTTTAGCTAACCCCTACAAGAGCTGCTTAACACAAATTAAGACATTTTATTGAATAAATCTTGAGTAACAAATTAATACATTTACCCTTTAGCAATTGATGATCTTCATCCAAGCCCAGATTCGGTAATGGCAGTCATATTCATCTAATTCATATACACAAATAAAATTGATGTGTGTCTAAGTATATGAAAAAGGAGAGATAGAAAGAGGTGGTTTGTGGATGCTGCGGGTGATTGAAAGTGGAAGTTGTCTGGAATAAGAGGGTAGATGCAAACCATAGTGGTTGTTATGATGTCGTGAAGGCGACATTGAGTGGCGGTGATGGTGGTGTTGAGTATGTATGAGTGAGAGTACCATTATCATATCTGAATAAGATAAGATAGAGCATAGAGCCAATGTTGTAATTGGTGGTGTTGATGAGTGGTCTAATGATGGCAACAGTTAGAAATGGGGATAACCTAGAGTGAGGACATAGAAAAGGAAAAGTGAGATGTTTATGGTAATGAGGGAGCTAGATAGAGGTATAGTGGTGTAGGTGGTGAGAACCCCATATTTGGTGAATCTGCCATTAAAGAAAAGAAATTTATAACAAAAAATCTCTTCTCAATTCTGATCAATTTGAGTTTGGGGGTGAAGAACTAAATGAAATCCAAAGCCAATATAGAAAATCAAAAAGTACAAGAACACAAAATCGAAACTTAAAAAATATATGAGCTTAGAACTAAACAACATAAATTGATTTAGGGTTCTTACTTCTTACCTAAAACTACTGGACAGGGGAGCATTGGCGTTACTTTAAGAACCTCCACCTCCAAAACCTTCTGCAAAACAAAAATTAAACAAAATCATTAGAAGAAGAAGATACCGAAGAAGAGAGAACGACATAAGAGTTAGAAAACTGCAATAGATAGGCAACGGTGGTGAAGATGTGTTCGTATTCGACCAAGAAAGTTTAGAATTTTTGGGTTTTAAATAAGTGAGATGGAAATATGTTAATATAGCTCGTGTTTAAACTGTTCAAGTGGCTGAAAGTAAGGGTTGACCGATTCAAGTGGCTTAAAGTGAGGAATATTAATTCAAACGTAAACAATCCCTGGATTATTATCTTGACTTTTTCAAATGTTGACCAAAAACCAGATTCAAGATTTTTTAATGCATAAACTCATTGTACATATAGCATAAGGGCTTATACCTCTTAAAATTCAGCCTTTGACCAAATATGTATATATATATATATATATATATATATATATATATATATATATATATATATATATATATATAAAGAATATTACCTTATGAATAGTAAACTTGCATTTTTTTTGTCAACTTTGCCCTTCATTTTTTAGCCATTTTGACACTTTTGGTTATTGGAATCAAAATTTTTATATTTTTAGGAACATTTTAATATTCAAAGTTTGGCCACAACACTTTAAGGAATTGACAACTTTGGTCCATTTTCTAAAAACTTACTAATTCCAACCCTTTTAATTCTTTAGCCATTTTGACACTTTTGGTCCTTACAGTCAAAACTTTTACATTTTTTCATAAAAAACACAAAAAACGGCCTGGGGCGAAACCCGAGTTTTTCCGCTAGTTAAATATTAAATATTACACTAGATGACGCATTAACTAATAAAAAAACTACATAATAACTAATTTTACTACTACAATTTTGAAATTTGTAACCGAGCTTTTTGACATTAATAGATTATTGTCTAATTCTTATTTTGTTTTTAACGTGTTTGGAACTCTCGGAGAAGTCTAGAGGTCTCCATATTGACATTAGATATCCATTTTACCGCAAATTTTATTTATACTCTAACATCACTAATCATTTTCATATTTTTTTGGATCTCTACTATCAAAGCATTTACACATGAATTTTTTTTCCTATGCCTTTTTGAGTGCCTCTCTTGTAATCACTCCAAAATAGAATATGTCTCGTGTTCAAATCTTACAAACTTTAACATGGAGGTTAACCATTTCAAAAAGAAATTAGAAAACCCAATAACTTTATTAACTCTTTGGGTAAATTACACAAATCGTCCCTCGTCCACATGCCAGAAAGCGTGTTTAGTCCCTATTTTCAAAAATTAACTCGGACCGTCCCTTGTTTTGTTTTTTCTTCCTTGCTTAGTCCCTCCGCACATAAAAAGACCATTTTACCCTTATTTATTTATTTTTTTGATTTATTTTCTATTTACTTGTTATTTGTTAATTATTTGTTGATTTTTTATTATACAAAATAAATATTATTGCATTTAAAGAAAGAAATGGGCCTGTACATTTAATCACTCGTCTCCCCTCCCCTTCTTCTTCTTCTTCGGTACATTTAATCACTCGTCTCCCCTCCCCTTCGGAAACTCATGGACATCTCCGGTTTCATACAGAGGAGATCGACTCCAAGACACCGGCCAAGTTCAGTCTCTATTTTACTCTCTTCTCCTATTTCCCCTATTCTGATCTCGTACTTGCGTCTCACCAGTTTCAGATTTGGAAATAGAACCATTTAAGTTTCCCCATCTCAAGATTTTCCACAGATTACCCAACACCACCTGCTAGCACCTTTGACACCACCACCTATCACTACCATGTCCTCCTCCAACCAATTCATAATCTGAAAACCTTGCACTTGGCTTCTTCCTTGATTTGAAACGTTAGGTGGAAATCGATATGAACATATGTGAAGAAGAAGATCAATCTAAACATATGCCGACAACTTTTTCCTCGATCTTAACCTTGCACCTGTCTTCTTCATCAATCATCCATGTATGTTTTCCATTCAATCAGACTTATGGTTTGTATGATTTCCTTACATGGTGCATCCAGAAATCCAGATGTAGAAGAGATCCAAAACGGGCTTCAACTCATCTGCAACCATGTATAACCATGGCGTCGGAGATAGTGTCCGCTTCCGCCTCGGATTATAACACCTTCGCCTCTGATTCGAATAGAGAATTAAGAACGAGTGTGACAGTTCTACATTACGAAAGGAGAAGAGGGAAAGAGATCGACTATTCTTCATATCTTTCTGTTGATGGCTTCCCCACATCACAAAATCAGAGCGAGAGGAGGTAACCTTGCTCCTATGGTGTCTGATTTAAGATTCATGGTAGCTTTTGAGGTGCATATCGACTTTATGGGTATCTTGAAGCTTTCCAGAAGCATATGATTTTGCCGGTGGGTTCTACAATACTGAAAGGAAAGAGAAAGCGGAGATGTAGAGGGTGGGTGAGAGTGTGCCCAATTTCCTTTTTTAAATGATAAATAATGATAAATGATATTAGATTAATTGAAAAAAAAATACACAGGGGTATTATAGTCATTTTAAATATGGTAGGGACTAAACCTACACAAAATCGTCTTTTAGGGATGAAACATGCAACTTTAAAGCAAACGAGGGACCGTCCGAGTTAATTTTTGAAAAAAGGGACTAAACGTGCCTTTTGGCACTTGCACGAAGGACGATTCGTGTAATTTACCCTAACTCTTTTATTAAATTTTAATTGTATACCAAACCGATGAAACAATTAAATAATTTTATTTATAGTCATTTGATCTTTACAAAGACAATCTTCTCTCGCTCGTATCATCTGATTATTTTCATCTTCTCTTTCTTCCTTCTCAACTCTATGAATTCACGGACTTCTAAGATCCAAATCATTTGCCGATGACCTCGGAGTCACGCATTCTGATTCTGTTGGCGATGTTCTACGAGACGCATATTTGCTCGATGATTGGGATGGGCCCGCCCTCATCTTTTGAAGCGTCACAAAAGATTCTCTCATAGCTGTAATTGCTTCAAAATACCTCGTACATGACACCAATGCCACAGGAATTGGACACAACATCTCCTATTCATAGCATAAAAGGTTAATATCATAAATAAGTAACAAACTATTGGTTTTTTTTTTTAACAAAACACCATTGTTTTTTTTTTAAAGTACCATCAGAACGTAAGCAACCGAAACGTTTTGTTCACGAAAAACCATCAAAATAAGTGAACACAAAGTTCATGCGTACCTTCTGATGGTAGTTTAAATTAAATGGTGTTTTGTGAAAAAAAAAAATCGTTAGCTGTTTATAACATTAACCCTAACGTAAACCATGATCTCGAGTGTTTTTTTTTAAAAAAATTTTATTTAATGGAATTAACAATGTTTTATTTATTTATTTAATGGACTTAACAGTGTGTTTCTTTCTGATGTTACCACAAAAATGACTTTATAGAGAATTAGGAAAATAATTTAAAGTCAACATTTTTTACAATTTTGTCTTTGTTTTTTTTTTTTTACATTTCTCCACATGTCATATTTTCTCAAATGTTTTTAAATATTATTTATTCAGACAACATTTAATAAGAAAAAAAATCTATAAACATACCCTCCATATAGACGGTGGTTCCTTAAAGTTTTCAGCCCAGTGGAGATCAGAAACAGATGCTGTTAGAGTACCATAATCACTCGCTGCCATCATTAATAGTTCCGAGAATTGTTTCTGCTTATTATAAAAAAAACAATAAACTCAAAATCAGAAAAAATAATACCGGACTGAATTAGACAAATTTTGTAGGGCTAAGAAGGGCAATTTTGTCTTTTTCCACAAAGGAGAGAGAATCTCTATCATATCTTGTGCTACCTTTTTGGGTGTCTTATGTAACTTCAATCTCATTTTGAGTCTGCAATACAACCTGTTCTATTATGTTTTGTCTAACCTGATATTCTGCTTCCACGGGAATGCAATCTACCGGGTATGGTTGATGAAGACGGGCTAAAATACGATCCTGTTAGTCAAATCAAGAAATACAAAAGTGGAAAAAAAGTCAAACATTGCAAATGTCATATATTTAATATTTTATCAAATGATGTTGATTACCTTATTCTGGATAACACCTCTCAATATACGAGTGATCCTTGCTAAAGTTTGTATCTTTTTTTCCATTTCACTCACATGCGTCAAGTGTGAGACATTCATATCTTCCTTTAAAGAAAAAAATAAAAATCAGTTTATTTGTTAAAACATAATATGTTTAACTAAATTTGAACATAAAATTTAAAATTAGAAACCATAATAAGTTTAAAAAAAACATGTTTACATAATTACATCACCTTTCGACCTTGAAGTTCCACATGCAGATCTGTAATTTTCCTTTGTACCATGGTAAGTTCGTGCAATAGTCTTACAAAGTCCTCGCACTTTTTATCATTGCTAAATGATAACTTCTGCAAACAATTAATAACAAAAATTAAATCTCAAAAACTAAAGCCTCGCACTTTTTATCATTGCTAAATGATAACTTCTTACAAAGTCCTCGCACTTTTTATCATTGCTATTGTAACTTGTAAGTAGCTTTTACATCATCAGAATGATCAGATTTTTGATTAAAATAAAAGTTTTAAATCCGTAACTCAACGAAACTGTTTCTTTAATCAAGATTTTTCTAAAAGCTCTTAAACAAAGATAAGACAACCTTAACCTTAATTACTTTGCTCATGCATAAAAGAACACAACGATTGGACCCCATGAACGCAAAATTTCTATATTTCATGGATGAATAAAGAAAATTCCTCATTGTAATATTTTTGAAAGTCAATCTTTCCGCTTCAACAGTATCATATAAAAGTGGAATCACAACGTTGGAACCCCAGAAATGATAATATAGGACAGTGGCACCGATTTTCTCATGAAGCTTGAAATCGATACCGACTTTGATGATGAAAAGCTATACGATTAATATTCAACTTATAAGATCCTGAAACCGAGTCTACAAAATTTACAAAATTGAGTAAAAAGTGCTACGAAATCCATGGGCATTGCAGATACATGAACCCTAAAAGCGATAAATCAACTGAATTTCATGATCACATACCTTGGAAGGAGGGGATCGAACAGAGAAACCGAGGTCGGAAGCGATGGAGAGAGCATCGGAAATTCCACCAAGTTGTCTCGGTTTTCTTTCCACCCAACCACCGTCGCTTCCCTGAATCGACGACGCCATTTAATTTGGATGAATTCTCACTTTGCAAGATCGAACATTTGCTGAATACTCGATTTTGTATAAGGATGTATATCTATTTCTTGCACTCGCACTCTATTTCTCTTTCTGTTGTTCCCCAGAAATTTGAAAATTGTTGAACGAGAAAATCCTTTCAGGCCGATACAGGTGGTTGGTGATCGGATTCGAAGCTTGGTCGCACCATTCGAATGAAAAAAAAAACAACGGTCTCTCATCTATTAGCAATTTGTATTTCTGGTCCTCCAGTTTTGAGAAACAGTGATGTGGTCTACCCTAACTTCTAACCATGTGTTCTCGAGTGGTTTTAAGGAGCATTATCTTCTAACTTTTCCCCCGAAAAGTGGAAAATTTTGGAAAGAAAGAAACTCATTATAAATATGTTATTTATCGATTTTAGTGGAAAAAAAAAAGATTGTGTAACCTTCCTAATCAAGAATTTCTTCAACCAAACAACATGTTAAACATTCAGATCTTAAAATTTCATACCATCTTTGAAATTCAGATCTCTTAAAAATCCAGCTCTTAAAAATTCAGATCCTGTCAAACAGCCCCTTAGTATCCTTTATATACTAAAATAAGAATAATTTTGAGCCATACCTTCCACAAAGTCAAAACAAGCAATGTCATAGGGCATGGGAGTCAAAGAAGTAAGACTACACACTATCTCTATCTTCTACTAGCCTCTTACGACATTAAGAAGAAAAAAGAGACAAAATATGTCTTACATAGGGATGAGCATATGGACCGGGGAACCGGCCGGAACCGGTACCGGAACCGGTACCGGAACCGGAATCGGAACCCGATGGAACCGGTCGGGCCGGGACCGAGACGTTATTTTTGTGGATTTTTGGAACCGGGAACTGGAACCGATATAACCGGAACCGGTAGAACCGGCAAAAACTGGTAGAACCGGCAAAAACAGGAACCGTATGATGCTATTTTTCGAGGACCGGTTCCAACATTTGAAGACACGACAAGAACCGGTAGGAACCGGGAACCGGTAGAACCACCGGGCCGGTTCGGTTCTTGATTTTGGCCGAAGCCGGTTCCCGGGTCGGGTCCGGTTCCGGCCGGTTCGGTCCTTTTGCTCATCCCTAGTCTTACACTCAAACCATTAACTAGTAGTTGTATCATAACTAAAGGACATACTCCAAGTGTCCAATATGTTGTATACAACATAAATAATCATACCATATGTTATTTCACTAGTTTTGTTCTCTTTATTCTTATTTCCTAGAAACAATGATTCCCAATATTTTGGTAAAATATTATTTTCATAAAATAATGTTTTTCCAAATAAATACAAGTGTTGATATTTGTTAATAATCAAAATTACTCTAATAAATAATCAATTAGTAGTAACTTGCTATAAGGTGTAACCCTATAGGATCATATGTCATTATCAATATCATTCTATAATGACACTTGGACATAAAAATCTTTCAGTAATCGACATGGTCCCCCCATGGTCCTTCATGCAAAAGTCACAAAGACAATCTAGCATATCATGATACCAAAGTGTCCTACATAGTATAATGAGAATACTCACCTAAGCTGATCAATAGAATCCAAACAACAACCTCAGCAACATAACAACTACCCCCAAGCTACCTAATGCCAAATGGAGACCAGTCCTTAGACAAACACTCAAATATACCAAAGTTTGATCTAAAGTCAAATTGGTCAAAAAGTTAGAGGTCAACGGTCAAAGTCAACGATTAACCCACCACGTTGTGGCTAAATCCACCACTGCGCCGTGGAAACAAGACGACAAAAATTAACGCGACTGGAACCCGTCACCGCGCCGCGACCCACCACTCACCGTGTATAAAACATGAAACCATAAATTCTAGGTGAAATTAACGCGATTGTAACATCCCAAAAATTCTAGGTGAAATTTTTTATTTAATTCAATCATAAAAACCCATTCATTCAATTCGAAACCCCATCACAGTACAAAACATGACCTATAGTCATCAGAGTACAAAAACAAGTCAAGTGATGTAGAACACTGGTGGATGTTGTGCAATCACGTCGAGCTCTTCCCCTTGGAACCGGAAGTACCTGAAACCATAAGGACGGAGCTTAGTGGGTTCCCCAAAATACCCCATACCATACATAATCTCATGCCCCGCCCACCTATCCAGCCGCGCCCATCATAACGGGCCCCACCCAACATACAATCGGACCTTGATTAGTGTACATAACAGGCCCCGTCAAACAATCAAAACGGGCCCATACCAATATACAGATAAAGGGTCCAACCCATCATACACATGCAAGGTCACAATGACAGCTATCATCAAACCTAACACAATCCAGTAGGCCTTCGACCCATGAGTACAGTGGAGAGATTCACCTCGATCGGTAATAGGATAAATCTCACAGACGAGCTGTTGATGCTAAAGTATCTCCCACTAAACATATCCAAAAAACCAAACCCTAATTAGCAATTAATGTGATAGTCCATAATCAAGGGTGTCATAACTAGTATTTTAAGGCTAGGAAATTATGTCCATATGTAATTAACCTTTGATATATCTTGTAACCCTAAGTATGAGGTTATACATGTTATTCATTCAAAAACGACAATTCAAATCAAAACTCATATGTGCAAGTTCTAAACCTAATTCATTACGCTGTATTCACCCAACCTTGAGCTTGAAACCCTAACTTCCCGGTTCAAACCTATTATTGGACCATGATTCACTTATTGGGCATAGTGGACCAGTAACCCATCAACTTGGTTCTTTTGGACTAAGAAACCTCATTTGGGCCATAGTTGGACCCACATTCAATAAGCAATAGCATTTTGGGCCATAAGACTTATCATGGGCCTTATTGGGCCGAAAACCATCTTCTTTAATTATATGGGCCGAAAACCCATTCCTTTTATCATTTTGGGCCGTAAACACATATGTGGGCCCAATGGGCCGAAAATCTTGATTGGGCGGAAGTATTCTCGGTTACTAAATACCCAATCCAAGCCCAATACTCTCTTCTTTCATCCCCTCTCCATTCTCGGTTTTAATATAAAAAAAAAGACATGGATTATTTGAGCATGTGACACCTCCTTATTACATGGTGGTAATCCATGCTAATGGTATCACATATTTCTAAGTTCTAGCCTTCTAATCCTCCATGTAATGACCAAGCTAAACTCTCTATTTCCTCTCCTTAAACTCTCGGCCAAAGATCCTAACCCCCACCACTCTCACTTTTCACTCCAAACTCACTTACAACTCCCTCACTCTCTCTCAAACTCAAAGGAAATTCCCTCATCCCTTCCTTTAAATTTCCGTGAGTGTGTGTGTGTGTGCTCAAGAGGGTTCTTCAAACTCACATACTAGGTAAGTTACTTCACACTTAAGATGAATTATTCCATTTTATGCTAGATCATTCCTCATAAACACCTTGTTTTCGTGATCATGCTCTTAGAACCTCCTAGAATTCGAAAACTCATCTCAAAGAAGCATACAAGGCCGAAAACACCTTCATTCTCTTTCATTTCTTCGTCAAAACCGAATCCATCACCAAGGTGAGCTTCATACCCATCCTTTTTCGTGATTTACTATGTTTTGGGGGAGAATACAAGTTGGTTTTGTGTTAGATCTAAGTATTTATGCATGCGTGTGCGTATTTTCATGTTATGTTGTGTAAATATGTTATGAAACTATGTTTAATACTCATGAACTCGATATATCCCCAAGTCTTGAAGATCTTAGGAAAAACAAGTTACTTTATGTAACTCATTATGTTGTTGAAAAGATAAACATGTTAAAGGATACTTAAAAACTAAATAAAACCTCATGAGGGGCCAAATTTGACAAATAAGCAAAAAGTGAGCCATGTTATGAGACTCACGGTTTTAAAGGGGCCAAAAGAGTCATTTTGGATAAAAATGGATTTTTATGTCATTCATGGTTTTGTAAGGGTCAAAAGAGATATTTTTGACAAAATGGGCTTCTTTTGGGCCTTCTCGGTTTAAATGGGCTAAAATGGTCATTTTTCCTAAAAATGGGCCTTATTTAGAAATTCACGGTTTCATAGGCCTAAAATGCAATTTTTGGTCTTTATGGACTTAAAATGTCATTTTTATCAAAAATTGGCCGAAAATGTCATCTTTATCAAAATGGGCCTTTAATTGTAAACTTTCAGCCATATTGGGCCTAAAATGTCATTTTTATCAAAAATGGGCCGAAAATGTCATCTTTATCAAAATGGGCCTTTAATTGTAAAGTTTCGGCCATATTGGGCCTAAAGTGTCATTTTTATCAAAAATGGACCTCTAATGTAAATTCTCGGCTAAATGGGCCAAGAATGTCATTTTTACCAAAAATGGGCCTTAATTGTAAATTCTCGGCTAAATGGGCCATGAATGTAATTTTTAACAAAAGTGACCCTTTTATGTCATTTTGATAGTAATTGAGCTAAAACAAGCATTATAATAACAAACGAGCTAATTACGTCATTTTCACTTTAATTGGGCCTTGTGTTCTCATTACATGTTATTTGGGCCTTATAGGCCCATTGATTTTCTTATTGGGCCTCACGACACATTTTATGTTAATCGGGCCAATAACAAACAATACTTGGCACTTTGATAAAAACAAATGGTATTTTCATCACCAATGTTTTGTAATCAAATGCATAACATTAATTTAAAACGGTAAACAATGTGATACACTGTTTGCGTAAATTTAGTTAAGGTTCTTGTGAGACACGCCTTCATCCGTACCTACCTAGTGTACAACCTTAAGTCCTGTAGTTATAACCAAAGTCTCCTGGAGGGAGAGCGAGAGTTTGTGTATAGATCTATACGGGGTTGACAACCCCACACCTGAGCTGTTCGCTACAGCTAGACTAGGCCAGTCTAGGGTGACAAATATCTTACCTTAAACAAGCGACGCCTGAAGAACGTCATGACAGGCATATCAGTCACATCAAACATGGTTATAACGACTCACATAGAGATTAACAAACACAGTAAATTTACGGAATACAGACACTTTAATGTCGTTACGAAACCATACAAACACCATTTTTCGGTCTTAGGGTTTTAAGACCACAACACTTTTACAAGTAGAAAATATCGGATTTTCTGGGAAAATACATTATACATTACTATTTACTTACTACAGAAAATATCGGATTTATTGGAGTTCTCATTTTATACACTGTCAAAAACATGAACACACATGCTATAATACAAGATTTGAAACAAAACTCTCAAACCATTTTTACGGAAAATATCGGATTTTCTGGTGTTTACAAATGA